ACGGGCTTCGGTTATAACTTTGGTAGAATAATGATTTCCAACCGGATCTTTAATGCGTAACGAAGGTGGGATAAATCCCAATTGCTCACAGGTTCTGTTGAATATGAGATGTTTTCTCCATCTTGCAAGCGCAAGAGATTTGCTACGAAGGTTATTCATATAATAATTCGTATCAGGATTCATGCTGTAAAACGAGAAATATAACGAATTTACAATATTTAAACAAGGTAAAATCCTCTGGAGTAACTTGGTAAAGAGAGAACATTCAAAGACAAAGAGGATAAGTTTCTTTTTATGAACATGCTTTCGAGCTTTCGGGCACAATGTCGCCCTTCAACAGGAATAAAAATACACAGAGAATCGAGATACGTCTATATATATACAGGTGATTAGCATAAATAAGAAAACTATTATTTTTAGAGAGATAAAATTTAAGTTTTATGTGTGATATACAAATCAGGTAATAGGAGAAATGTGAATATGCTAATATATGGTTTAATCTGCTAGTTAAAGAGTCTATAGGTTGTTGTGTGAAATATAATAGCATCAATAGGCACAATGAGATTCCGGAACTTTATAATGAAATATTTACATAAGCTGTTCATCATAACAGCCAGACATCTCAGGAAACTTTCTTATTGGTCAAAAAAGTACAATCTTCAACTTCACCCCAAAAACCAACAAGATACAATAGTTAATCTGTCAAATTTCCAACCTTCTGTAGAACAGCTCAATATCCTTTCACGAGGTCTTAAATTTAGATTTCCATCTAAAACTGACCGTATTTCGATTATCGCAGGCGTAGAATCATCCATCACCCGCCTAAACCACCAAGAGAAGTACAAGATCAGGAAACATGTCTCAACAGTTCTTAATAACTCAATCCAGGATAATAGCCATAATAACAAAAAATTGTTAATTCAGTCCCTCTAGAAATAAAGACATTGTCATTACAAAATCTGATAAAGGTTCAAGAACAGTCATCATGAACACCATGGATTATACAACCAAAATGAATGCAATATTAAATGATCCCCTTATTTTCACCCCTATTTCCTTACAGGAAGAGAATTTAGCCATCATTAAATTTAAAAAAGAAATTAATATTCTTGTAAAGAAAAAATCCATCACCACAGAAGAATGCAAGTCCTTTTTGTCGAACATTTATGGGAAAGCATACATATATGGCCTGCCAAAATTGCACAAAGACAATATTCCACTTAGACCTATAATAGCATACCATCTATCCCCTGCAGCCCCTTTGTCTTCCTTCCTGGCCAGGTTACTTTCACCTATGCTCAGGGATGGTGTAGCCACGGCATCCATATCTTCTACTCCGGATTTCTTGAGCCACATCCAGCAGTCATCGGTTCTACCCAATAGCATCATGGTATCCTTTGATGTGGTGAATTTATACCCCAGTCTACCCCATCAACTTATTATAGATTGTACCACACAGTTCTTATCAGACCATAATTACCCCAATAACACCATTTCCAGATTAATATCCTTGATCAGAATCAGTTTAGATAACAGTATATTTAACTTTAATCAGGCATACTTTAAACAAACAAAAGGTACACCTATGGGTAGCCCACTATCTTCCCCACTATCAGAAATAGTCATGCGCCATATAGATAAGCATATAGTTGAACAATACCACATAGATATTTTATCATGGCACAGATATATTGATGACATCTTTGCAATAGTCAAAACCAGTTCACTTGATAACATTTTCTCCACATTAAACAATCTATACCAAGATATACGTTTTACAGTTGAAATAGAGACCAATAATACTTTAGCTTTCTTATATTTACTTATCACAAAAATAGATAATAGATACACCACAAGCGTTTATTACAAACCGTCATTTTTTCCATCATACATACATTTTTCTTCGTACTGCCCACTTAGCCATAAAATTAATACAGTCAAAACATTAACTAAACGCATATTCACACATTGTACCACAGAAATATCAAAACAGCAGGAAACAAATACCATATTATCACATTTATTATCATTGGGCTACCCAAAAAACTTTATTTTGAGACACTTTCATAAACCTTTACAAATAGCCGTTAATCATAGTTATAAATCTATTTGCACTATTCCTTTTTCCCCTCAGAGCCTCAACATATCCAATTATCTAAAAAACTTTGGTATCCGCACCTTCTACTCCAATACTCCTAATTTAGGCACATTACTTAGAAACCCTATCACCAAAAACAGTTTCCCCCTAAAACCCATGTACTTCAATAATACAGTCTACTCATTAAAATGTAATAATTGCTCTAGCCTATACATAGGAGAAACTGGTAGACACATAAAGGACAGAATTGATGAACATTTCCGAAATATCAGAAATAATGACCCTAGATCCCTCATAGCCCAACACATTTCAAACACAGGACATACTTTTAATACAATAGAACCCCGTTCGCATTTTTCTAACATTCAGCATAAATATAAAAGATTGGTTGTCGAGGCGCTGCTATCTCTGAAATATAATAGCATCAATAGGCACATTGAGATTCCGGAACTTTATAATGAAATATTTACATAAGCTGTTCACACAACAACCTATAGATTCTTTAACTAGCAGATTAAACCATATATTAGCATATTCACATTTCTCCTATTACCTGATTTGTATATCACACATAAAACATAAATTTTATCTCTCTAAAAATAATAGTTTTCTTATTTATGCTAATCACCTGTATATATATAGACGTATCTCGATTCTCTGTGTATTTTTATTCCTGTTGAAGGGCGACATTGTGCCCGAAAGCTCGAACGCATGTTCATAAAAAGAAACTTATCCTCTTTGTCTTTGAATGTTCTCTCTTTACAAAACGAATATATACGAATAAATAAGATCATACAATGATAAATTTATGAATAAATAGATTTAAATATATAAAATAGAGTTAGAGAGAGGGAACTCTATAATATAAGTATATAATAACGATAATTGTGAATGGAACTTATATATCATTTTGAAAATTGAGCAATCTATATTGAAATCTTTAGATAATAAAAAGGCGTATAGTAATACCAAACAAATATTTTTTATTTAATATAATATATGCCTTTTTATTATCTAAATACTATATCATGTAGTGTTAACTGTATTGAACTACACTCATGGACAAAATTAAGGAAGTTGTATCTTTTAGCATGTAAATCGGGATTTAGACAATAACTTTAAAATATATTTAATACACAATGACCTTTATTGGAAACACACGGGATAACCAAATATGAAAAAAAAATGCCTCGGTCTTCTTAAAAAAAAAAAAAAAAACAGAAGACTGGCGGCATAAAAGTTTTCACACTTCCTTAAGTTTTGTCTCCATGAGTGTATACAAGAAAAAATAATCCTTGTTGAAAGAACGTTAATTATTATTAAAGAGTTTGATGGAATCAGCGGGTCACCATTGATATGGCTCATCTCTAGGTTTAAAATATAACCATGAAAAGAGAAAAAAGGAAAAAAAAACTTGCTGTTTATTCATAAAAAATAAATATTTGATGAGTAAAGGGAACATTTCCTGATCATAAAAAGGCACGTTTGAGATTGCTAGAGATATCAAACAAGAAAAGGTGTCAAGATTTATAGGTTTAAGATACTTAAACTAAATTATCGATGGTAATTTTGTTGGGAGGATATTGGATCTATAAAAATAAATGTTATAGATTTGGACTAGCCATTTTACCAGCTAAGTACCTCTTTGAAAAATTGTGAAGATTTCATTTGATCCCTTGTGAATCTCGTGAAATCAAACTCCGTTCTACACTATCGAGGCACATTACCCTGAAACCATGGTCTTAAGGTGTAGGCTTCTCAGTTTACCAAAGATGTTGCTATGGCTTTGTCAACGACATGAGAGACGGTCAATAGATGGCGCTCATTTCTAGAGTCTATTTTGCAGAGATAAGTATTCTTTATTTTTATATATTAAACTAAATTGTATTATAAGGGTGTCTCAAAAGTTCGTGTTTTTCTGATTACTTGGCGAATAATATTATTCCGGCGAATATATAATATATAATACATAATATAATTACTTTATACATAATACAAAGACATTATACATAACAGCGAATAATATTATAGTTAATTTTATTTATATAGTTTTTAATATATATATTAAAAACAAAATTGGCATATCCTGACGTGTACGTGGGTGACCTTTCTTGATTTATACAGAAATTGAGTTGGGATAATATCACGGAACAAGCTTAATCAACGTTTAGTTGATTTTTGTTCCACTAGATGGCGTTCTTTTAATTTTTATTTCAACTTCTGATCATTCTTCTATTTTATCTTCTTATTCTCACATATTTGAATATATATATTCAAAAATAAAGGTTAAAATTAGGTTTAATTTCAAGCAATCTCGCTAAGTTGTTAATGATATTTGAAAGATTCATACAATCACAATTAGTGTATGTGTGGGAATCAGAGATAATTTTTTATTTTAAAAAAATCTATATAGACTACGATTATAATGAAGATATCAATTTTTAAAAGCATTCGTGTATTTATCCTATCGGTAGGTATTGTGAGGTTGAACCTTCCTTAATTCAATTAAAACCCCGATACAGCGTGGGTCGATGAGGCTGAGGTCTGGCTAGAGAGGGAATCAATACACAATCTGTATGTCGAACTTCTAGAAACAATATCCTTGTTGGTCCCAACTCCCAATTGGTGGAAGGATTCAACTTTCTCTTCTATACTCTCTCTACTTCTTTCTCTCTCTCCCTTTTCTATCTTTTTTTTTCTCTTGGTCTTTATATCGTAGAAACAATATATAGGATAATCTATTTCAGATAGAGGAATGTTGATTGTTTTCTATTATGTATAAAATATAATGGAAGTGAGATATTAAAATATACAAGTATTAGAGTCATCAATCAATTCTTAATTCTGTCACCGTTTGCTTTTGTGAATGGAATAAATACCCAAATATGGCCATTTCTCATAAGCATTGATGGTTCAGTGGTAAAATGCTCGCCTGCCACCCGGCGGCCCGGGTTCGATTCCCGGCCGATGCATTTTTTTTTTATTTTTAAAACTCATTTATATAAATATTATTACAACAAAGCAATAACGCGCCATCTATACATATAAAATGAAAGTATTTAAAAGCACGAATGTTTCTTTTATACAATACAGTAGAATTTTGTATTTTGTATAAAATAAACATTCGTGCTTTTAAATACTTTCATTTTATATTAATATTATTATTATTGAAATATATACAAGTATCAGAGTCATCAATTCTGTCATCGTTTGCTTTTGTGAATGGAATACTTTAATGAAGGGATAGTGTTTCAATAGCAACAGCAATCGTTTTTTGTATGATTTTGTTCGAAGAACAAATAGGGTTTTCTTGTAGATTTATAAGAACGATGTCATGGATAGATTAATCTGAGATGGTCAATGTGATTGGCACGATCTTAGATAAGGCATTAACGAAATAAGATTATTAAGAAAAAATCGATTATGTTGCCTTATGCATTGTGATTTATATAGCACGTTTTACACCGTTTGATGTAAACGCTATGTTGATATACATGACAAACAATACATTGATCTACATGTTACCATAATGAACATGCCTCATTAATATAGACGGTATGGTAGTCTGCACCATGATGATGCCATATGTACTATGAATTTACATAGCACGTTTACCATACAATCCAGTTTGAATAACAAGCTATGGTGATATACACGGCATGGTGAACAATACATTGATCCACATATTACTATAATGAACATGGCACATTAATAGAGACGGTATGGTAGTCTACACCATGATAATGTCAAATGTATTATGATTTACATAGCACGTTTTACGCCGTATGATGCAAAGGCTAAGTTCATATTAATGACATGATAAACAATACATTGATCTACATGTTAATATAATGAACATGGCACATTTTTGCATGCGTTATGGTAGTATACACCATGATAATGTAAAATGTATTATAATTTAAATATCAAGTTTTACTATACAACCCATTTTAATGCACAAGCTATGGCGATATACACGACAAGATAAACAATACATTGATTCACATGTTACTATAAAGAACATGGTACATTTATACAGAATATATGATAGTTCACATCATGATGATTTCAAATGTATTATGGATTCACATAGCACGTTTTACCAAACCACCAAGTTTATTGTACACGCTATGGTGATATACACGACATGGTGAATCATACATTGATCCACACGTTACCATTGTATGGACATGGCACATTGGGTATGTCTGTACCGTATGTTTGTCATATGGTAGTCTGAACCATGATGTCAAATGTACTATAGATTTATACATAGCACGTTTTACCAAACCACCCAGTTTATTGTACACGCTATGGTTATATACATGACATGGAGAATCATACATTGATCCACACGTTACCATTGTATGGATATGGCACATTGGGTATGTCTGCACCGTATGTTTGTCATATGGTAGTCTGAACCATGATGTCAAATGTACTATGGATTTACATAGCACGTTTTACCAAACCACCCAGTTTATTGTACATGCTATGGTGATATACATGACATTGTGAATCATACATTGATCCACACGTTACCATTGTATGGACATGGTACATTGGGTATGTTTGCACCGTATGTATGTCATATGGTAGTCTGAACCATGATGTCAAATGTACTATGCATTTACATAGCACGTTTTACCAAACCACCCAGTTTATTATACACGCAGTGGTTATATATACAACATGGTGCACTATGCATTGATCCACACGTTACCATTATATGGAAATGGCACATTTATGCAGAAGATATGATAGTTCACACCCCGATGATACCAAATTCACTATAACTCACATAGCAGGTTTTAAAAAACCACCCAGTTTGATACATACACTATGGAGATATATACGACATGGTGCACCATACATTGATCCATACGTTACGATAATATATACATGGCACATTGACGCCAAGGAAGTATAGCCTATATGGACGATGAAGCAAAGAAAACTATATTTCCAACGGCACTTTGTAAACAATTTTCAATTTGAATCAATAGGATGATGGTATTTCATTACTAAATATCGTAATCTTCTGTTTACATTAAAATTATTATAGATAGAGTTGCGAAACCCCTATGGACAATTAGTCCATGATCTATCAAAAACAGAATGAAATCTGGAAAAATGCCTAAAATAAGTAATTATTTCCTTTCTACTTATGATTTACCATGCTTATTATTATTAATATTATGTTGTTGTTGTTGTTGTTGTCGTGTCCAAAGAAGAGTCTCAGATGTCTCCATGCATCTCCATCACAGCAGCAGCAATATCCACTATCTTGGAAAATGGGTGCCGTTGCCACGTTAGTCACCTTGGAAACGAACCAGAATTTGGTCGAATATTCCAAGGGTCCAGGGGGGACCGCAGGGAGTTGAGGTCGGACAATTAATATTATATATATGTTATATATATAAAATTATTTTCTGCTTGATTTTGACTATCTTGATTATTATGCTATGTTAATGCAGTCGTGGTTAAAAATCGTGAAACAATAATAATAAAAAATAGTTTTGATCAGATATTGCTTTAATTGAACTTATGAAATGTATAAAAAACATAGTTTGATTAAAATACTGCCTTGCTTAAGGCGTAAGAATCTAAAAAATAAAAAGCTTATTCACATAATGTACAAAGGTTTTGAGCCGGCCATCGGAAAACAACAACAATTAGTTTTTATAGGGGAAGCGTGACCTCTGGCGGTCGATTTAGCAGAGTATTTGAATCTATAAAATATATTTTTAAATAATGTTTTAATATAACATATATAATTAATTCCAGATCAATTAAAACATTATTTATTAATTTTCAAATATTAATAACATTTTTTTTTCTCAACATAGCAAAACAGCGTAAAGTATTGTATAACACTTGGGACAAATATCTGTTAAACATATACTTTTGAGTTGTTAAGTTTTGTTATTATATATATATATATCAAAATACAAGAATAGAAAAATTTTGCAAAATATTGAAATAATATATATGTTTTATTTTAAATAAAATATCATTATATATGAAAATTATCTGCATGAATATTTTTTAAATTCCTTAAGCTATTTGATATTTTTAAATAAAAAACCCTAAAAAAATAAAATTGGTGGATAGAATTTTATGACATTCAATTCAAACCAAACGAAAAATTTTTAAAATAAAATATTTTGGTATAAATGCTAAGCCTAAGAAATCTGTTTATCTCTATTTAAAGTATATTTACTGATTGCTTACTGTAGCAGATTGGGAATCGTTTTGGTGGAAAGTATTTTAAAGTTCTGCAATCCGATTTCGAAAAAAAAAGTCAATTCTTCTCTTTATTCATCAATAATCCATTCCTTATTTAATCCAGATTGTGTGGGGATTATGTTACGATATTGTGTCTAGTTGGATAAACAATATTCCTCAATATACACAACTTTAAAGTCATAGAAATAAGGTAAGAAAAAATGTTGATTCTAGAAAACAACAACAAAAACATTCCTTATATATACAAAATTGTCCTAAAAGTTCGTAAACATTTTCAACAAATTGAAATACCAATATTATTTGCTATATTATTCTCGGTTATGTAAAATATCTTTGTATTATGTATAAAGTAATTGTGTTATGTATTCGTCGTGATAATAATATTCGTCGTTATGTATAATGTCTTTGTATTATATATAAAGTAATTGTATTATGTATTATTATGTATTCGTCTTGATAATATTATTCGCCTTTATGTATAACTAGACGAATGGCCCGGGCAACGCCCGGGGTTTACCCGAGTGCGAATATATTTTAAACACGTTGTCTTGGGTGGTCGCTATAGACAGGGTGGTCTGTATAGACAGGTGTATGTATCACACAGCCGATAACAGGGTTGTCTAGGGTGGCCGCTATAGACAGGGTGGTCTGTATAGACAGGTGTATGTATCACACTGCTATAGACAGGGTGGTCTGTATAGACAGGTGATTGTAACACACTGATGATAACAGGGTTGCCTAAAGTGACCGCTATAGACAGGGTGGTCTGTATAGACAGGTGGATGTATCACACAGCTGATAACAGGGTTGTCTAGAGTGGCCGCTATAGACAGGTGTATGTATCACACAGCCGATAACAGGGTTGTCTAGGGTGGCCGCTATAGACAGGGTGACCTGTATAGACAGGTGGATGTATCACACAGCTGATAACAGGGTTATCTAGAATGGCCGCTATATACAGGGTGGTCTGTATAGACAGGTGGATGTATCACACAACTGATAACAGGGGTGTCTAGAGTGGCCGCTATAGACAGGGTGACCTGTATAGACAGGTGGATGTAACACACTGCTGATAACAGGGTTGTCTAGAATGGCCGCTATAGACAGGTGGATGTAACACACTGCTGATAACAGGGTTGTCAATAATAATAATATTATTCTCCGTTATGTATAATGTCTTTGTATTGTGTATTATTAAGTATTCGTCGTAATAATATTATTCTCCGTTATGTATAATGTCTTTATGTATAAACCAATTTACCAATTAAACAGATTTTATTGACCGCACTGTCAATTAGTACACTCCGGAGAGATAGGCTCAAATATTTACAATTATTTTACAATTGTTTCAACAGGAGGTCGGACGGCAAGGCGGCCCTAAGCTCAGATAGGTCCCTGAGAGTAAGGGAGTGTAAGTCCCGAGTATGCTCGGAAAGCTTGTCCAGGATTTGGATGATAACTTTCTTGTCCCCCGGCGAAAGTCTCCTGAGGAAGCCCTTCCTATCCTCAGGGTATAGCACCGCTTCCACGAGGTCAGGGTATAAAGAGCCCAGTTGTGGCCAGAGGTTGAGTTCCTTCAATAATTGGATGGTTAAAAGTTGCAATTCATCGCAACGTTTATCGATTAGGTCAGCCTCCATTTGGGCAGACGTGGGAGGCGGAGGTGTGGCCATGGCCGGCGTCGACTCCCTCTCTTGGGGAGCGGGTGGTGCTGGCTCGGCAG